TTCAGTTGTGGACCCCAAGCCCGAAAAAACCCGGAAACCCGAAACGCCCAAGACTGATCCAACCCTTGTACCGCTGGCGCAGGTTCCCTGATGGCATCGCTGAGACCCCGGTGTCGCAGCATTTGGAATCTGCGGTGTCCGCTGGGAAGATCTTCGAGATCCCGGAGGTTGGAAGCAGAGAGCTCCATTTAGGGATCATGGGACTTCGTAAGTAAGGTTATAAGTACCCTAATTGGGGTTATCACTATTAGTTACCTTATTTATAACCCTAGTTAATTGATCCTCCATGTACCCACTAGTGAACGACTAGGGCCCTCAAGCACAAACGCAGCAAACCCCGACCTGAAAAGCCCCATATGGCGCAGGAGTTGCAGAGTTTTTTCTGCTAAGGGTTCTATGTCACTATGTGGAGTGCTTGTTTTTTGCAGAGGAAGTAGTTTGCAGGGTTTAGGTTGAAGATGTGGAGCTTGAGAGCCCAAAGAACGAGCAGTAGGGGAACTACGGGACAAGAAGATGAGAGACGGTCGCTACCCCTTATACCTACACCGTTTAGGCCATCTAAACCGCAAGACCTAAAGCCCTGTCCCAAGGCCTCTAAACCCTAAAAACCCTAAACCCTGCACACCCGAAGCCACTAAATCGCTCAAGCTTACAACCTACAGCAAGTCCAACTTCCAACGATCCCTTCAGAGGCAGCGCGCCTCCCTGGGCCTTTGTGCCAGCGTGACCGGCATGAAAAGAGCTGAAGGTTTGGAGTTCAGGGTGTAAGGTGTAGGTTACTTGGGTCTACACATAGGGATTTCCAGGTTTTGGGTGTCGGGGTTTGGGATTCGCAGCTTGGACTTTAGGGCTTTAGGGCCTACAGGATGGGATATAAGGTTCTCACCTCCAGGCCGAAAGGTTTCTATGCTGGTACATGGTGGAAACTAGGCAGAAATAGGTATCGTCGTGTTTGTGGTATTGCTGTCGTCCACAGTTCGAGACATTTACCGTCTTTTTCAAGTTGCTCCGAATCTCAGCACTGCAGCTCCTCATGATGAGCCACGAAGTCTAAGCCCTCAACCTCGACCTGAACCTGAGACCCGAAGTCCTACGCCTTTCACACCCTGGCACCTCAGACCCCAGTAGAGGTCCCTACATGCTTGTGCCCTAGTGTACTTCAAAAGCCATAGTCTTGTCAGTGAGGCCACCTCCGTTTGACCCAAGAACCCAAACTATGAGGTCTGTTCCGCGCGGCCCTGGCTGCTTTGTCAAGCGGACATCTGGATGCCGCCGATGCCTCAAGGATGTGGGACGTTGCAGGCTGTAATGCAGGGGCCGGACTTTTTCGAAAGGGGTTTGAGGTGTATTCCATTATACTTGCATAGCGAAGAAGAAAGAAGGAATGTGATTACAAGCTTCTGCGACCCACATGTTGAGTTTTAGTTTCCTGTTCCAGGGACAGGAAGGAGTTTGGCCCGTGCCGCCGTGCGTTAAGAGCGTCGACTAGCATCCGCACCCGTGGGGTTTCTGTTTGCGTCATGGGGTTTGGGATGTAGGGGTTGCAGAAGGGGCTTTGAAGGGTAAGGACGATTTGAGGGTTCAAGGGTCTGCGGTGGGGTGTCGGGTTTCAGAGTACAGGATGGCAGGCTAAGGCTGAGGGTTCAGCATGCGATGGTTGCTGCTCAGCGGGTGTGTTGGGCTTCGTTGGGAGTTGAAGAAAGTGCTTCGGGTTCAGACAGTTCGGAGTTTGCATTTAGCGTCCGGAGCAAAACTAAACCCCCACTTCAATATCGTTGGGCCCGAGATTCAATTGAAAAGACAGCTTTTCTTTTGAGGGGTCTGCCCAACTGAAGTAACCAAATTATAGATTGGGCTCCTTATTCGCGTCTTCTCCAAGACCGTTTTTCGAAAAGCAACCTGAGCAGCAGGCTCTTTGTCCCTAATATGGTCTGCATGACCCCCCCCAAACCCAAGAAATTAAACCTCAATGTAAGAACCGAACATAAATCTGAGCCCTAAGCCCAAACATCTGAACCTAAGCCCTCAACATCTGAACCTGAGCCCTCTGAAACCCTAAACATCTGAACCTAAGCCCCTTTAAACCCTAAACATCTGAACCTAAGCCCTCTTAAACCCTAAACATCTGAACCTAAGCCCTACTAAACCCTAAACATCTGAACCTAAGCCCCTTTAAACCCTAAACATCTGAACCTAAGCCCTCTTAAACCCTCAACACATCCACAACAGATCTGGAGCCCCCGGGTTCTCGAAAAAGGCCGCGAGCGTGCTCTCAGACCTGCCCCCTTGCGGCCTGGAACTTCTGGAGCCTGCTGAGTTCCTCCTTAAGGCCGTTTAGGGTTTAGGGGTTTAGGGTTTAGGGTTTAGGGTTTAGGGGTTTAGGGTTTAGGGTTTAGGGTTTAGGGGCCGTCACAGTTACTATGAGGGGGGGGGGGGTGGCCTTAATAATTACCTATACTACTTTGGGGGTTCCTTGGTATACTTATGGAATTATGGGCCCCGAAACCCTATTCTGATTGTTAAGGCCGTCACAGTGAAGGCTTTCGGGGGGCTTTGAGGAGTTGAGGGGTTTGAAACGGTTTTGAGGGATTTGGGGTTTAGGGTTAAAGTGTGAGCAGCTAACGGTTCAGGGTTTAGGGGTAAAGGGGTCTGCATAGCTAGACTAAGTATACGGAATTTGTGTCAGGAGTTGCTTATATGGTGTTAAGTGGGGTTTAGGAAGACTCTGTAGTAGCATCCCGTTATGGGTCGTTGTGCAGCTATACTAGACTATACTGGAACGTATCTCAAAGCCCTATCATTCCTAGCATCAAGTTCTTTTTTACTTGGAGCTCCCCAGGCTCATTCCTAGTGGCTGCATCGACAATGAGCGGAGCTTGATTGGTTTCATGGTGTACGGATGGAAGGCATCGCAGGAAGCAGAGGCAGCACAGAAAGCACAGCGTGCACAGGCGTCAAAGCCTGCTGCGCCGCCTGCGACAGAGCCTGCAATGCCGGCGGTCACTGTCGTAGGAATGCGAGGTTTAAGGCATAGGGGTTGCAGGCCAGGCAGAGCCCCAAAATGCCACAAGCGATAAGATGGTATAGTATCGATATACAAAGATACTGATACTAATGCTCAGGAGACGGAGTAGCAAAAACAGGGTTTCGGAAATTGCGGTAGCCCTTACCTTACCCAAACGCTGATCCCTGCAGGCGCCTGTGGTCTCAACGCGGCTTGCCGGAGTAGAGCTCTGGCTGTGGCCTCGGAACCAATCTAGAGGTTTGGTTGTAAGATTGTTGGAGGTTAGAAAGAAAAGTCTTGTGGTCTCGGATCTAACATTAACTGCACGGGGCTGATGGTGCGACAGTGGTTGAGATTCGTGCTTCGGGTTGGCTGCTAGACGTACTTCTGTCGCACAGCTTGCTTATCTGAATTTGCCTCGCTCGAATGTCATTGACCTTTCTTTTACGTCTTTGTTGGCAACACCTTTGCCGCCTTGTCCCCTTATCCCACACCCCTGTACTCTATACCCCCAAACCTACCTTAGCTTAACAGACCATCTATGCTCGAGCTCGACGCTCTCAGGCCTGAACCCCGATCCTGCATCCGCGAATGCTCCGCAGCCCTATCCCACTACACTTTTGTGGGCACCCTTCAGGAAGGGGCCTTGTCACGGTAGCATAGTGTAAATCACCCGAAGCCCAATTTCAACATGTTTAGCCTTCTATATTGGCTTGCAGGGTGGTACGCGCTCCAATTTTTGCTTCATGAAGTATACTAAGTCTAATATACCCCAAACCCTGTTCCAAATACGAACGTGCCGAGGAAACCCCGCGAGCAAATTGTACAAAGCCTTACGAACGTCACTCCGAGGTCACGCTTGGTTCAGCAGCTTGGCGAGACCAAGGTGCACTGTTCAGCCAATGGGCTGCGGGCATGTCGGGGTCTAGGGTCGGGATTGTGGGTGGCGGCTGCTCACCAAGGGCCTGAAACTGAATATTAGTGGCTATTGCGTGGGTTCAGGGAGTTTGTAGGCTGCGTTGCGTCTTTTCGGATTTTCGGGTCGGGTTTGGGGTATATGCGTGGTTTCGGATTAGTAGGGTTTACGGCTCAGGGCCCTTGGGTGCAGGAACTCGGGGGTTCGAGCCGGTTTTGGATCCTCCCCCCCGGCTGCAAACCCTTAGTCTAGGGGCTTTTGGGCTTCGGTTTTGTCCGGGTTTTTAAGATGTCGCTTCAAGGAATTGGGTTGATGCATGCCGCCATAGGACAATCCGCCAGCGAATCGCTTCTGGACGAACTCTCCAGAGCTCATCGAAATCCGTTAATATGCAAGGGACTAGAGACATGCTGCGCGCACACTAAATCCCGAAAGCCGGAGATGGCCTCTCTTCGATTTTGTCATGTCTGTCTTTCTGGACGTGTCGTTTCAAGCTGGCCGAAGCTACAGGCCAGGAACCTGAGACACGACAACTGAACACGAGCTCTTCATGGACCGCAGGTTAAGTGGTATCGGACGGCAGGATGAGAATGATGTCTTGGAACAGCCACACGCAAAGATGGTACTCTCATACACTCCAAATAGTAGTCCCAATGCCTGGGGCTACATCAGCCGCCGACCCCAAATTCCAATCGAGTAGACGGTTTAGTCGTAATGGTGATAAGGAATGACGTTGATAGTCTCACGGTCTAGGCTTGAGGGGTCCGATAACCTTGGCTAGCTTTTTCCAAAGAGAGCAGCTTCAGAGGCAGCGAACACGACCAAGAGTAGCAGCCGGTGACGGGTTCGCACGATCTGTCACGACACGCCAGGCCCGAAACCCCCAAACCTGTAGACCCTTGTGCCCCAAACCCGAAAGACCAAGGGATAGTCTTTGAGACCATCTTTAACATCCCAAATCCGAAACTTTTAGTGGCCTAAACTTCCAGACCTGAAAATTCTCCCAACCGCCAGACCTGAACCACTAAATCCTGAACCAATGTTCGATGGCGGCCGTCTCGCCAGGATCCTCGCTTTGACATGGCCTTCGCCCGGTTCCGGGAGTGTTTTTCGGCAAGTCAAAGCGTAAGCTTTGGGTACTATCCAGGGTGCTGGCTTCTAGGAAGGTTCTGTAGGGAGGGGTGGTGTTCTGGCTTTGTTTACGGGCTCTACACATTAGGAAGATCGCATTTTGCTACAAATAGCGAATCAGTCTGGACATGAATGAATACACAGGTCATTCATTCATTTATTCATTCATTCATACATACATACATACACATCCCTGTGATGTTGATTTAAGTTGAACTGCAGGGCAGGATCCCAATGCAGGGTTCGTGTGGTGCTACACGTGTGTTGGACTTTCGTGCGGGTTATCCAATGCTAAGATGACTGAAGTGGCTCATGGGGATAAAGAAGCAGCGGTGTCGGCTCCGGCGCCAAACTGAGAGAACCCCCCAAGCCCGAGCTGTTGAACGCTTTGAACTCATGCGATCTGGGCCCTGCGGCTGAAGATGCCACTCGAGGCTTCTTCCCAGCAGCGGAGTGGGTCGATGGAGAGGACTCGGTTTCATCGCACCACTGTCTCGAGGGTCTCTGGGGGTTCTGCACTACCGTCAAGAAGTAGTTGATTCTCGCGGGCGATAGTAAGTCTTATTTCTAAAGCAAAATCTTAAGAGCATGCACTTCAGATGGGCCGGAAGCAATAGACAAATCTGCCTGGCACCCGTGTTGTGGGGCTTCTCTGTTCGTTGCATGTTCTAGGATGGAGCTCTGAACCCTTCATCCTAAACAGGCTTCATGTCGAGGTCCAGACCACGGCTACTTCTCCACCTATGAGACGAAGCTCGAAAGTCAGAACCCGGGATGTGACCTCAAACCCGATAGTTTTCTTCGATACTAGAAGCCCTGCAGCTCTGGGCCTGAACCCCCGGCAGCAGAGGGAGAAACTTCGCTGCACCGAACGCGTAGTGGCACGGAGTCTCATGAAGAGTCTGATTTGGGCACCAAACAACGGCTCCCATACCCAAAGCTCCCAATTTGTGACAAGGGCATTCTCGGGGTTTCAGGACATGCTCATAGCACGGTCTCCCCCAAAGCCCTGATGCAACACCTACACAACCCTGTATAGGCCGTTAAGAAAACCCTTACCAAAACCCCAGAAAATTGCACAACTCAAACAAAGTCTTTTTTTAAATCCCAAATCCTGCAGGATCCGGAGCCCCTGCGGGAGGCGCTATGGTCGCTCGCTTCAGAATCTGAGCTGTCAGGCTTGCGGGTTTAGTCATACAGTTTCTGGGGCGCAGGGTCTGGTCATACATGACAGTTTAATCTATGGTTTAGGGCCTAGTCTTGTATGAGAGTTTGGACGACGGTTTACGGTTTCAGAGGGCTTAGGGGTTACAGACATAGATGAGAGTTGATTCTAGCATGCAGGGTTTAGGGTTAACTCGCAAGTGGAAGTTTCGGACAACCAGCAGGACCATCACTATAAGACTTCTTTCCCCACCAGAAGCCGACAAAATGAGGTATGAATACTAGGTCATGCGGTATAAATAGTATCAGGAAGTAGGGGCCATGAGGGTGTATCCTGGCATGAGGTCTTAAATCTTGGGTTTAGAGGTACCAAGCGACGTTCCAAATATGCAAAGGCAATTGACGATTCTTCTATAGAAGAGTCCAACAGTACTCCCAACTTTCAACAACCGCTAAACCGCCAACACACACCCAGGCATTTTTCCACCCTAAACCTTAATGTCCCCTAAACCCTAAACCCTAAACCCTAAACCCTAAACCCTAAACCGAAACCCCAAGCATCCCACGAAACAGCAGAGCTCCACGCTTGGACATCTCCGCTGAGGTCCCTGGTCCTGGCCTGGCAGCTGGCTTCGCCAAAGACGCTGGGGCAAAACCGTGGCTAGGGTTGTCGAAGTCTTCGGATCTACACAGGAGCTTCAAAATTACCCATACTGTCTTGGGGATCCTAATTGTAACCATGGTAGAATATACCCCACTGATTCTAGTTACTAAGGCCCTTGTATTATCTATGGCTCTGCATATTTGGGGTCGTGTGGAGGGGTCGAAGGCTGTAGAGCTTGGGGCTTCGAGCTTGGAGCTTTTGAACGGCGGGGCCTGAATTTAGGGATGCGGCCGTCGATGTCAGCACCAAGAGTTTACAGATGTTGAATGTCCAACACCCAAACCCCAAGCAACACACTGTAAGCCTACATCCTTAAGCCTCGAGCCCTCATTCCAGCCCCCAAGCTATCTTGGCTCTCTTCGGCAGCGGGCTCTGTGGAGCTCTCTGAAGGTCGAAGTCGAACCCCCTACCATATGAAGCAGGGTGTCTGCTGCAAAAAGATACTTAAATGTACATTCATCCATCAAAACGCGATTCATCCATCAAAACGCGAGAATACAGCTGGCAGGCGGCCCCAACACCAACTTGAGAGTTTTGGGTTTAAAGGTTTGGGGGTTTTGAGTCGCAGGGTCTCGAGATTAGGCTTTGGAGCTTTCTGGGATATATGCTGAAGAGCCGAAGTTGCATCTGGAGGCGCAAGCTCGAAAGAATTGAGAACAGAATTTGTTTAAGGAACATAAGCTTTTAGGGGTCTGCACATGTAATCACATACAGTCCCTATAGAAGCATACTATGATCCACCCCCAAGACCCAGGCCTAGCTGTCGCGGGCCCTATTTTGCCCTAGTTTGGGTTCAAGGTTGTTCGGCAGCATTGCAAGAAACACCCCGAATGTGGAGTTGTGGAAAGTTGCGCGTGCATGGTGTTGCAAGTGTATGCGGTTTAGGAAGCTGGAGTTTTACGTAGCCTGTCCATGACTTGGTATTGGTTCCTTGCAGATCGAGAGCTGGATAGCTTAGGAGTTTCGTAAGTTTCTTGGCCACGGAAGCCGAGGCGCGTAACTTTGGTGGAGCCGGCTTTTGAAGAGTTGGGCCGGGCCCCTTGGAGACCTTGAGCCCTTCTGTGTGTGTTATCTCTCGTCTTACTCAGTCTTACAGCACGAAACACAGGCAAAGGCGGCAAGACGAGAAGATAGCCAAGAAGAAGAAGAAGAAGACGAAGACGGGCCAATTTCAACAGTTCACCCCGGCAGCGATGATTGCAGCAGCAGCAGCCATAAAAAGCAAGCAGCAAAGGCGAATAACCACAACACCGGTCGGCGGCAACTTCAATGGCCATGGTGCGAGTTCGTGCACTGCAGCAGCTGGGACGTTGTAGGTCATGCAGCATTAACATCGTGCCAGTGTCCACATCGCCAAAACCGCCGAAACACGATATCCGCGCCATGTTCCACTTCGTGCGAGCAGAGGTAGCTAAGTAGCCGGGCTATGAAGAGGTCAATCCAGCAACAGCAGCACATTTCGACAGGCTCACGCTGTAAAGACACAGCGCTCAAAACTAGCTCAAGACGCTTTGACGACAAGACTTTGCAAGCCTTCGAGACCCATGCATAAGTCCCAGTGGCTCCTGCCATCATCTTCATCATCTCTCCATCGCCATCAGCCTCTCATCATCATCACTAGCGAGCAGCATCGTCGTCATCTTCTTCATCGTCAGCAACAGCAGCAGCAGCAGCACGGCCACCAGAACCCTTTCCAACCAGGAAAAGCAAGAAGCAAGGCTCCATTGTGTCAGCCAGTTCAGCTGCGACATAGCAGCAAGATTCTTTCCAGACAAGTGCAGTGTCCACACCATTGCAGCTCGGTGAAACACTTCAGGTTCTAACAACTGGTGGCTGCTGGCAGCGGGCTGAAGCTGCCCTTTGGCTCCTGGCCAAGTATGCCAAGGGTGGGAAGAAGGAGGAGGCAATGTCAGGGGCTGTGAGACACAAGCTTTCAGGCGCAGGGCTTGGAGCCTGTATGGTTTTCAAGTTTCGAGGGCTTTTCGCTTTGAGGGCACCTATCTTCCACATGTAGGCCTGCGAGTCGAGGGAGTGGGGTGTTGCTTACACCGTTTCAATAATCGAGGCCCGGGCAAGGTTCGACCGAAAGCATTAAAATGCTGCCCGCCCGAAAAAAGCTCGGCCTGGTCTGGAAGACAAAAGAAATCCAAGCACTTTCGTTGGTCCAACCATTTCTCAAATAGTGCACTGTTGTCTTTCTTTGCTCTAAGGTTCCCGAATAACAGGCGTGCTTCTTTAAGGTCTGCTAGGGAACCCACTCTTTCAGTTTGTAGAGGAAACCTATTCTGTTAGTTCGCAGGGGCTGGGATGAACATGTCGTGTCGTTCACTGTATCTCCGCAGTCGCCTTTTTTCCGTGAGTGTGGTTGTACATGTGTCGTAATTTCAGTTCTAGTCGCTAAATCATAAACGGCTACAGCCTAAACCCCATGCGTCTGGACCTGGTTGCCAAGCCCCGAGAGCCACGCCAGAGCTGTAGGATGAGCATGTCCTCAGCGCTCAGTTCCAAATTCTCACACACATGTGTATGTATGCGTTTGCTCATGTATCATCAAGTCAAGTACCTCGAAAACTCTGTCAACAATACCTTAAACTCCAAATTCCCCAGCTTTGAGTAACCTTTGCAGGTGCAGAAGGCATCCCAGGCCCCACTCCTCATCTTAACGAAGCTCCAGAACTTGCACGCATCTCGGCTGCTTTGGCAAAGACTTCTTCGGTAGGTTCCGATTTTTGGATTTTCTGGCTGATTTCTTTTATCGATTTACCGTGGAACTCTCAAGACGATTATTTGGTAGGGCTGTTGAAGTTCGGATGTGGAAGGGTTTAGGGCTTAGAGCCTGTGCCATTATGAAGCTTAGGGTTTAGGATGAAGGGCTTCGGGCTTACATCGCATGCTCGTATAAAGGGGGTAGATTAGATATTCTTCGAAAGGGCTTCCAAGAACAGCTCAGGAATCTGTTTTGCGTCCCTTGGAGCCACTGGTCGGCTGCTCAGTGGGGCTCGGTCAGATATTTCGGTTGACTGCACATCGGCTAATTTGAAGGACAGTTCCAACGGACAGCATCCGAACCTTCCGAGGCTTAGGATAAACATCCCTCAACGCTCAAACCGAACTTCTCAACGCGTGACTTCTCCCCAGCCCACCCAACAGCTGCCAGAGGTGTTGAGGGGTCACGGTTCAAGGTGACCGAGTAGACCGTTGCATGCCGGGTTCAGGTGCATCGGCACTTCACGCCTTAGTCGAAAGGACTGCATTTTTTGCTCTTTGGTTGTCACTTATCAGCTAGCACCTCAACCGTGATGTGCTCCTAAGGTACAACACCTTAGAACAGGGGGATAGCCTTCTTCTCACCTCTCCCAGGTTTTGGAACTGCTCAAACTGGGAGTCGATTAGTGCTAAGGGTATCCTTCTGGAGTGTTGCCCTATCCAAGGTGATCTCCTCATGCGCTCTTGTCGAAGCCATACCGTGTGCCGAAGCGGCACCCTTCTTGCTGGAGCTGCGGTTGGCGCGGCCCCAGGCACGCCCTGACACAGAAAACCGCACTTGACCTACAATATCCCACGTTAGGTTCCGGGTATAAACAGTTTCAGTTTAAGCACGAGGGGTCCGAACGGGTGTCCGTCTCAAGTGTTTGTCAGACTTGCCGAGAACCCCGGTAGCTATGTAAAGACGGAGGCCTTGGAACCCTGAGGCTGCAAAGACCGTGTTCGAAGAATTAGTCTTGAAGCTCCCACAAAAGCCTCCATGAGCCTATTCTACTTATAAAAGCCCCATTAGTAGCTCTTGTTGCAACCCGTACAGAGAACTTCAAAAAAGGGCCACTAAATGCAGCGCTGGAAACGAAGGCCCGCAAGGCTTTGCGCAGCGTCTGTGCCTCCTGTCGATCGGCCCTGACCCTTGGATTGGGAGTTGAGTAGGCTTTGTATTGAAGTTTCGATGTCTAGAAGTTGCGATTCCTTCACGTGCTTTAGGGCGTCTCTGTGAGTTATGATTATGATTGAGGGGTTTGAGTCGCAATGCTTTGGCGTTAGGTGTTCCCGGTGTGAGGCCTATGGGTTTAGGATGCTTCGGGCTTCGTTGGCTTTAGGAACTGTACGATTGAGGGCGAACGGTTAGGGTCTTGCCGTCGAAGGCTTTGGGAGGTGGAGCTTCGGTTTCAGTGACTTCCCGAAGAGAGCTTACAGGACGCGAAGCTTTTCTGGAGCCCTCGAACACAAGTATCAAGTAAGAGTATTCCCGTAGCAGCCGCATATAATTCCGCTACGTCGAATTCTTTCCCGTCCCTATATTGCGTCATTGCAAGATTTGGTGCGCAAAGCACGGGTTTGTGCGCAATCCCGGTTGTGGGATGCTTTGCGTTGTGTTTCGGTCATGGGTTATCGCTTGGGATATCGGAGTCAGTCTGGAAGCCGCTTTTGTGTTCAGTGGAGATTTCGGGGTGTGTAAGACAATCTTATCGTAAGTCTTACAGAGCTCTTATGGTAAGCTTGTCTTCAACCTTCATAGTATCCTGATTAAGAAATGTGCAGGTTCTAGCTTCTTTCCGAAATATGAAGAACCTGATAAGAGTCTGCGGTTTGTTAGTCACTTTTCTGACGACCCCATATCAAAGCCTAAACCTGAGGCCCAGTAGCCCGATTGGCCAACCGTTTCGGGTTGTGTGCAGTGGGGTTCCGGGCCAGTTCTCGACGCAAGGATGGGCACAGACTTGGCCCGGACATTACAGCGGAGGGCGTTGGAAGGCACTAGAGTCTGACGTGCACGAGTTATGGGTTGAGAGTTTTGCAGGAGTTTAGAGGTAGCTGTTTCATGGCTTCGGGTGGAATTTATCTGCAAGGTTTCTCATTCAAGGCTCTTGGCAGCTATACAGACGAGATTCATGAGAGCCAAACATTTTTCGGCCCGGTCGACCCCCTCGTGTCGGGGATGCTTCAGACGGCAGACTTTGGACAAAGGGTTTTATAGAACATTGATTTGTTTCACCTTCCTTTACCTGAACCCACACCTTTAAAAACCCTTGAACAGGAAACATGTCCATGCGTGCGTGCACCAAGCTCCCACATAACAGCGGCATGTGGCCGAATCTGACTGGTGGACGATCACGCCTGCAAAACAAAGCCAAAAAGGCATGTGTAGCCTAAGTGGTCAATGACAAGGCGGGGGTGGCAAAGAGGCATGAACCCTTGTCGCAAAGCTTGTACAATCTATTGGGTTTTTTGTAACGTTCGCGGTTGTGGGTTTGGGATTTGGGGAAATGAAAGAGTTGAGCTGTTTTCGGTTCAGGAGTTCCGGGTTCAAGGGCGTAAGAGAGTGTTGTTCCGAGTGCATGCATGGTTTGGCTGTTGACGTAAGGCTATCACGCTAACGAGTGGAAGTTGAGTTGGCTGCTACACGAAATCAGCTTACTATAGGGGCTTTGATAGTTACCTATAATAGCTTAGTGTTATGGAAGATACCCCCAAACCCTATGTTATCTATTGAGGCCCCTGTATTACTATGGGCTTGAACTTCCGGGATTCTAAACCGGCACGCACAGGCGAAGACGATTTGGCGCCTCGGCGAAAACATGTGGGTTTTGGTTTCGCTGCCATTCCTACGACCAAGACGAACCTAGAGGTTTGAGCATTCACGATTCAAGTTCCATGTATGCTTTGCGATAACATGCTCCAAGATCTGTTGTGTTTAGTAGGTGAAAATCTTGGGTCGGATTTGCTATGCTCTTGCACTTGTAGCACCTCTTGTACACTATGCTTTGGTCTTTGAGAAATCGAAGGCTGAACGTCAAGGACACCGAAAGCCGATAACTCCGGAGACTCTTTCATGATCAGCAAGTTCGCAAGGATCGGCACCACCCTAGCAGCTCCAAGCAGGGCAACACACCGTGAGCCGAAGCCCTCGACCTAAAGTCGCAACCTGGAGCCTATAACCTTACATCCTAAATCTTGCATGTTCAATCACTCGAAGAAACTTCAGTCGAAAGGTGGCATCGGCTGCACAGCTTCAAGATGCGGATGGAGTTCGCCAGCTGGCGCAGCATTGGGCGAAACTTTGTCTCGAGGCGCGACGCCGCCTGCTGGCTTGCAAGACCCGCAATGACCTTCAATGCTGCACTACACTCTACACGGTCCAAACGAAGCCCTAAACTCCCTGTAACCTAGAACCATAAACCCAACTTCTAGAGCCCTAAACCGTAAAGCCTTGAAGAAGCCGCTGATGCCCCAAACATTAACAGGCCTCTCCTGCACAGCTGCCTCAACGTGCACGTGCGGTTTTCGCTTCGATGACACGTGCAGACATCTGCTTGTTGCTGGGCATACATGGGGGCCTGGGTTTTTCAGAGTCTTCATAAGGGTTTGACATGGATTTTAAGAGGGTTCCAGCCACTCAGGGGATTCTTACGAATTCTCGAAAACCTGGGCTGCCTGTGTATCAGTTAGTAAGGCCTTGCGGCATAACCAAGATTGCATTCCGGTGTCCGGCTTGCACCCGAGCTGCAGAGGATTAATTTTGTCATGATTGGATGTCCCGGGACTCAGGGTTGAGATGTACGTCTGCTCGTGGCATAGCCCAGTGCATCACAAGCATGACGAAGATTACAATGTTTCTGCGGTGACATGTCTGGATGAGTTGAATGAAATGTTCACTACCATGAAGTGCTATTGATGTACTTGTCATCGTCCGGCAATTCTGGCATATCATGTTGATCGTTTTTCTGCATAGGCAAACCCTGCCAGGGCCTTCCCTGAGAAGCCTTTGATAGGTATGTAGAGAACACTATGAGGTTACGCCGTCTACTTACATGTGGTGTACACCGAGACCTAAGCCTTGAACTTTTGACCTGTATGTACCCTGCATCCTGCACCGTCAAGCATAGCGACGCATGAAGGCTTATAGACTGGATTTGCATGCAGAACGGAGTCTCTCAGGGGGTTTGGAAGTTCAGGTCTAAGGAATTTCGGCTTACAGCTTTAGGTTTGGGCTTCACATGGGCTCGATCAGGCTGCTAATGCCAGATTGCGCTCACTTCCTGCGCTTCGTGCCCCGGGAGGAGAATGCGTCCGATATGCGTCTGTGTTATGGTTTAGTGTTTAGGCAGGATGTACGCGTGAGTTGGACTCAGGGTGCAGGGGGATGGGGTGTTGGCGCTTTGGAGCCACCTAAGTCTTTAGGTGAAAAAGGGGTCTGAATGTTTCCTAGAATGTCCCAAGTCCCCCCCCCCCGCCCCCCCGCAAACGTATACCGGAACATACCCCAAAACCCTACTCCAATAATAACTAAGACCCCTTGCTGTTGTGTATTGGGCATGTGCCCTCGCTTTGACTTGAAGGATGTGGATTCTGTGAAGATGACAATGAACAATTTCGTACCGTTAGTTTGCGACTACAAAGCTTAGTGTTGTGATGGTGCAAGTTTTGATGCAGAGTTAGCGTTTTCGCCGTCCTACACCCCAGATTTGCCTGGGGTCCACAGGGCTCTACGACCCGAGAAGAATCAGCCTGAACAGCCTTATCAAGTGTGAGCGTAACCTTCTCTTTTTTCATCTTAACAGCATGCTAGAATCTGCCCCAAAATCCGATTCCGATGTATCCTGAATGCCAAACGGCCTTAAGAATTCCGATCCTATACTAGTGTCCCTGAAACGCTAAAGGGCCCTAGTTCCGATATCGTTACGGCAGGAACAGGTGCTTTTCGCAGTACGCGTCGCCGAGTTTGCAAGCACCTCACAGCATCTCCGGGCGCCGGCCTTGGAGGTCGCTCGTATCGCGGTCCAGGCTTTGGGGTTTTGGCCTTAAATCTCAGGATTTGGGGTTTTGGCGTAGCATAAGCACTTTGGAAAACGAAGGGCTCGCGTGTGCCCACGGCATGGAGGGGCTTCGGGCTTCGGGTCTTAGAAGTTTGAGCATGTGGCTCTGGGGGTTCCGGGACAAGGGAACTCGGCTTTAGGAGTTTGGGGTTGATTTACGATTTTGGCTTATTTTGATTTAGAGGTTAGCAGCTTGTTGAGGTGGAGGCCCCATTACCATGACAGGTCATAATGATGACGTCATGGATGGCAGCAACGAGCAACACGGACGACGGTGGCAACACATGGCGGGCCATCACCACCAACAACATTAGTTGCAACACGAGGGGCGTGAACAGCACTACAGTAACTCAGTAGGCATTTGCATGACTCAGCAAAAGCAAAACTAAGAACACTGGTAGCAGTAATGGTCCCATGACTCTCCAACAAGCTCCCACCACAATGGTTGCAAAAATGACAGTTGAAATCAATCGACATCAACGGTGCTAGTACCAGTAACCGGGGTACAAGCAGCACAAACAAGATCGACGTTAGAATTAACGTTCCCCACCTTTTTCATCGGGTTCATCCGCAAAACCCGACAAAAAGTTCTGTAGCAGGACCCCAAGTAGACAAGTCCGGGCAACCCTACAAAGCTTTAAGAAGAGGAAATGATCGGGCGAAAAGCCTTGCTTGCACACTTCTTTTCAGGAGAGCTTCAGAATTTGATCGATGAAAGGATGCGTGTCTCAGCGAAAGACCATGAACCCAAAACCTGCACCGTCTTACACCCGAAAACAGTAAACTTTTCAAGCCCTCCCACAGATCGCGATTGGGTTTATTTAGGTTCTGGGGCTTCTTTGAGGTTTAGGGCTTGCTTTCGGGATTTGAAGTTTAAAGGCCTTTATATGCTTTAACTCATTCTTCTTCTTCTCTCGCCGTGAAAGAGTTCACGATGCGGTCATCGGGCAGTGGCATTGCCACCGGCGTTCAGAACGCAGCCGTTTCGCTCCCCAGAGCCTACAGCAGTCCTTCTTCCTAGTGGTCGCCCCGCCCCTGGGGGCCCATAAGCAGGCGACCACTTGGTTAAAGAAACCGAAATCAAATGCTGACCCTCTTGGAAGATGACCATGTAGCTGAAAATAATCCCTCGGACTGCTCTGCTGAAAATGGCCAGGTGACGTATTGTGACCTGATTAAAAGGGTTTGCTGATCAATGGAGCCTTCGTAAAAAGAACAGATACGAGTTATTGTTTATGTGCACGACCTCCTCTGAGCTCGCCGGCTTGGCTGATCTACCGTCATCGGTGCTGTGCGTGATGACTCCGTTCGTCAGCAGAGCTGCCCTGTAGTGCCCGCTTCTGGAAGTGTGGCCTTCGTGAAAGACAATGCTGACTACCTCGTATGGTGCAGGCATTACGGAAGTAGTAAGGTGAACATCGCTGAAGACCGGAACCTGAAGGGGAGAGCTTGGCTGGACTATCCCTATAACCTTGAGTCCCATATCA